CACACTTCTTCTTTATGCCTATTCTGTAAGGAAAAGAAATTAGTCCTCTGTACTATATGAGCAGGATAAGTTGATGTGATGAAATCCCACTGTTATTAGTTGGTTGAAACATAATGAATCTATACCAGATCTTACAGTTACATCTACTAAGATCAATACCCATAACAACTCTGTGCTATCCAGTATATCCATTTGTAAAGCAAGCTTACAACGGATCAGCTACAACTTGAGGATAATAAAACTGTCCCTTTGACAACCTCCTAAGGGAAACTAAACCAGTAACATCTATTATTCTATCTATGATTGCTCAGGATTCCATTATACAGAAGCAGCTAGGAGGTTATGGAAAGTGGATTGAATGAGTTTGTTGTTGATCTCAACTACAGAGGGGAAGGTTGAAGCTTTCCCAAAGGCTACCTTTTGCAAATATTTCTTCTTGTCTAAAAATTATGCAAATCCTTTGTGTTTTTCTGGGACCTTTCTACTGGAAGACAATTCTCTGTTCCCAAGACTTACATTTTTGCACCTAATGGAGAGAAGAAGGAGGTAAGACAACATCTGTTACCCTCTTGATGGAGAATTTTTCTTCAAATATTTTCTTAGATAATTTCTTTATCTATTTCTTTCAACATTATAGACCAAATCAAGCATACATCTACTTTAGCTCTTCAGTGTCTTTTTCTGAGGAGAATAATCTGAGGGGATTACTTGAACACAATGAGATATAGGCTCTATAATTATTACACATATTTAAGTAACATTTTCATTTTATAGTTGATGGATGTATTATAGAGTTTTCAATCACTTACGGTAGGTCCATAAAAGGGCTTGTCTATGTCTTAAAAACATATGGGATCTGCTCACTAGATATTCATTGTATTGACTTGATTTCATTACCAGTTTTTGGAAGAAAGGCATCAAATTAATCTCCAAGGATATTTTCCTTCACGACTATTAGATTTCAATATAAATATTTGACATTATTTTTAATTCATGTTTATTCATATCAACTCTTCTTACACATATGATATTTATTATAATGTAACTTTCATTAATATTAAAAAAATATGAGAAATATATAATTTACTGTAGGATAGACAATTACAGAATCATGGTAAAATCACTTTGCTCTGAAGGAAATTAAGACAAAATAAGAAGCAAGTTAATCAACATCAAAACCCAGTTTACTGCTGCTGGTTGCCCTTTCTGGTATAAGCTGTTAGTTTTAGCATAGCTGTCTGCTATCTATTTATTCCAAAATTGCTACCTTATCAGTAGATGTGTTTGTAGTTAAAGTAGCACTTCAGCAAAATATCAGCCCCTTTTATTAAACAAAGTCCAATTAAAAATTTGAGAGAACTTTCAATTTAATTAACAAATTATTTATCACCTAAGCATGTTCATTGTTTATTGTTTTTTTTTTCCCAAATTACCTGAAAATATACTGTCAAGTGGACATGAAGAGCTCAATTCATTGTTAAACTATATTTGCAAGAAATGAACAAATTTCATTGATAAAATTAAGCTTTCATTCATATGTTAAGCCCATTTTTGCATAATTCTATGATGAAGTCTTTTTCATAAACTAAGACTTGTTCAACTTGCAAGAGTCCTGTGAAATCATAAGTGATCATGGTTTTGGCTATTTTAAAGTCCCAATTTTCCAGGTGGCATAGTTTATTTATTTTTAATTGAATGTTGTCCAGGAGAGTTAACAGTATTTTTGTTTTATTCTCTCTCTCTCTCTCTCTCTCTCTCTCTCTCTATATATATATATATATATATATATATATATATATATATAAAGGCTGGCTAAGAGACACAAAAACAATTTTAGAGGCACTTAACTAATACTATGTTGGAATAATCAGTAAGTTTCTGCAATATGAACAATTTACACATATGTGTGCTATTATATACACACAGCATTCATATATTAAGGTGGCTAGCATCAAAATAGGCACAAAATCAGAATCCCAAGGATAATGTTTAAAAAACGATGAAAGAACTACCCAGAAAAATGATTTATGTAATATATTGCATTATTCTTTTGCAGATTACAGAATTATAATGTAAGCAACAATTTCTATACAAATAGTGGAAAATTTTAGGAATTTAAGAAAAATAATAAATATTAAATTAAAAATATATGAAGTAAAATATAAGATTTGTGATTTATTGTTTCTGAAGTTCAATCTACACTCTCATACAACTGATCTTGAGTAGAATGTAAAGTCATGTTGATTACTGGCTTGAAAACAATTTCCATAAGATTATGTGTAGAATCTTAAAGTTGATTTTGCATTTTTGGTATTGGAGAAATATTATTATTATACAAGTAGATACTTATCTCTAAGTAACAGATCAAGATTCGGCAAATATAGTGAAAGAAGTAAAATTAGAGAAGTGGGGGGAGGTGTGGGGGGTAAAAATCATATATTGGGAATTTGAACAAAAAATAACATTGATTTTATCAATAGCATTTGCTTAGCTAAAATATATTTCTTGTAAAATAAGGAAAATTTTATTAGAAAACAAAAAATATAAGTAAGGAACAAATGCTGACTGCAATGTACTTCAGGATTTTAATGGGCAGTTAGAGTTTTCAGGTGTCTAAAAACAGCATAAATAGAATGATCATTAATGTATAATTAAGTAAAAAATAAATCATAATAGTTAGTAACTATCAAATTTCATAACTTATTAAATCAATGCTATCAAACATCTACCTGCATGATATTTCAAGAATAATTTTAGTGACCCCAGTATTTCTAAGATAAATTTGCTGTTCATCTTGTTTCATTCATATTAATGATGAAGAAGAACATGTGGAGCTCTGGGGTTTGCATTCATTATAAATTCCATTCCAGGAGGATAATGAAACATTTCTGGCAATATAATTCATGGTCATTTCACTTTTTGTGTGTTCAAAAAGTCACTTGGCCTGTAGAAGCAGAGCTTATTAGATCTTGCTTGAGTGGTTGTTACAAGAATACTATTCTCTAGGGTCATGTATACAGAGCTCAGTTGTATTCAATTATGCTCGATTATTTGAACCATAAGTTCCCTCAAATATCTCACTGTTTTCCATGTGGCAGAACAAACTGATTCACAATTTTAGCAAATATGTCAGATGCAGAGCAACACTAAATATATATGTGTATATGTATACTATTTCAATAGAAAGAAATTTAAATAGTATCTACCATATTTTTCATAAATTGACATTTTTACTGTGTGATACTATAAAACATATGAGAGAATTTTTCCACAAAAATAAATATTGTTAAATTATTACATTAAAATCAATTCACATACACTATTTCAATATGATTGTTGTTTCAAGTTTTGAAAAAAAAATGACAAAATAAATAGTTCTTTGTTCCCCATGCTGAAATATTTTCACTTTAGCAGTAATAAGAAAAAGAAAATAAATAGAAATATAAACTCTAAATGCTTTGAATTGCTTTGCATTGCTAAAACAAAACAAAAACAGAAAGTAAGCATTCAATTAGTTAAATGAAACTTTGTATTGTTTAATTTAATGTTCAGGATAATCATGCATATTAGATGATATTCCTAGTACAAAAATGGAAGACAAAGATTATGTGTCACATATAAAGTGTAAAATGTTTTAAAAACTCCAAATCATCTAACTGTAGAGTAACATAACAGAATATATATATATATGTGTGTGTGTGTGTGTGTGTGTGTATATATATATATATATATATATATATATATATAACATAAACATAATATATATATATATATATATATATATATATATAAAAGAATATCATTACCTACAAAAAAGTCCCAGACTTTTTATTATACAAAAGCATCTTGACTTAACAATGAGGTTATATCTTGATAAAACTTTTTTTTGTAAATTATCAAATAAGTGATTAAAGTAGAAAAAGATTTTCAGGCAGAATAAAAACAATACAGATCCTTTAAAGAAAGAGCACACCACAGTATACTGTGCTCTTTACCCTCAAAACCTCATGGCTGAACTGGAACTAGGCTTCTTACCCCCTGTTCAATATCATAACACTACGGAAGTATATGTGGCTGGTCCAGGAAATTTTTTTTTGACAAGGTCTCATTGTGCTGCCTAAAGTTGACATGGAACCCCTGGCCTCAAGAGGTCCTCCTATCTCACTCTCCTGAGTAGCTGGGACTCTAGGTGTGCCACTGTGCTAGCAAGGATGAGTAGTTTACAAATTTAAAATTTAGATTAGGAATTTATTGCTCACAGTTTAGGAGTCTGGGAAGTCCAAGACCAAGGCAACATTAGATTCAGTGCTCAGTGAGGTGCTCTCTACATTGTCATCAGTGCCTTGTTACTGCATCCAATGCAGAGGGGGCAAACAAGCTCCCTCAATCTCATTTATAAGGGATCCCATCTCATTCCTAGGGCTCTTCCCTCCTGACTTTGTCACCTCTGAAAGGCACCATCTCTTACTACCATCACCTTTATTATCAGGATTTCAGTATATGAATTTGGAGGAGACAGATATGTTCAGACCATAGTATTGATCAGTTCATTCATTTTTTTTGTAAGAAGCTGATGTGGAGGACAAACTATTGGAAACTGAAAAAAAATGAGCAGAGTGATATATGCTTGACATGAAGAAGATAAAAACTGAACAATGGTATCTTCAAGAGTTTAAATGAAACATTACAACCTATTAAGTTAAGGCACTGACATTACCAAATAATAAAAATTAATCAATCTGAAGAAAATCAGTATGAAAATATTCTAATGCAGTCCTATCTGGAAGAACTTTGTGCAGTGATGGAAATGTTCCATATCTCTGTAGTGTTCAATAAAGAATCTATTAGTCACATGAACACTTCCAATGTAGCTAATACAACTGAGGGTATGCATTTATCATAAAAGTTTTAATAAGGTACATGTGACTACTAATTGAACAGTGTGGTTCTAACATTGGGCCAAAACCAGTAGTTTCTTTGGAGTACTTCTCCAATCACAAAAATTTAAGGAATTCTTCATGAATTTTCAGGTCATCCTTGCTTAGGAGTCGTGCTAGTCTTCTCTGTATCTTCCTAGTTGTAGTATATGCATAGCTAAAGCTACCACTTATGCTCTGATGGTGCTGAAAATATTTTGACTTGCTGTAAATATATGTACATTATTACCTTTTGTTCAAGTAAAAAATATAAAAACAATTCTGACTGACACATTTTATTTTAATGTAAGAAAGGTACTGACAGGAAAAATAATTAAGAAGCATCAATTTCAATGTATCTATAAACAAAAATTTTCATTATAGCTTAACTTCATGTTGAAGTCACAGAGAACTGAGATATAGCCTGATTCTGAAATTCGGTGAACATGAGACTTTGGACAGTTACTCAGCTGATCTAAATTACAACATTCTCATCTATAAAATGGTGTTAATTAAAGCTATTTCCTAAAGTTGTAGAGACAAATGTTTTAATAATATAAAACATATAGTATGTCAATCATTGTTATGGTTATTAGTACAAGTAAAATAATCTAAATTTACAAATATATTTAAAGAAGTAATAAACAAAAATGCAATGCTTTTTATCTAAAAATGATGAAATTAATGAAATATTTATTTTACATAAAAACTTACTGTATATGGGTATATTGATACATTTAAAGAAAAAATGTAAAGGAAGAGCAATATTTGTGTTCTAAGAATCATATAACCTCTTTAAAAGACCTAAACATGGGGGATTTCATCAAACGTATTTTATGATTTTACTTTTGTTAATTTCTTGATATCTGAATTATGAAACTATATTGAGAAATATTCTCTAATATTATTTCATGTCAAAAATATATTATAATAATGAGATACCAGAAGAGCATGGTGGCACATACCTTTAATCTCAGTAGGCTGATGGCAAGAAGATCACAAGTCCAAGGCCAGCCTCAGCAACTTAATGAGATCTTGTCTGAAAAAATATAAAAAGGGCTGGAGTTATGGCTCCAAGGTTGAGAGAACCCCTGCATTCAATCTCCATCTCAAATATAATAGAAATAATTTAATAATAATAAGGCACACAAATAAATCTTAGTTTTGGACACTGGAAATTTATGTCTAGAATTAAGATATACTTTAAAAATCTACATTTGTTAGATATTATAAAGGCATAAATGTTTAATTAAACAATTGTAATTTTTGCAAATATTTTATTATATCTATATATCTCTATATATTCCTATTTATTTGTGTTTATTTGGTGGCATTTTATTTCCTTTAGCTAAAATATTATAAAACATTCTCTAATTCAGAGATACTTCAAATATACTGCATTAGAAAACAAAACATTTTAAACCTCCTGAATCAAACTTACTTTAAGTCATAAGATTAGTGAACTCTATAAATGCATTATTTTTAGGAACATTAGTATTTGGCATATTTATGCTTCTGATATATTAGATACATTAGATTGAGAATAATAAACACATTAGTCAGCTCCTGTTCATCATAAATGGTCCTCAGACAGCACAAACATTGCAAATAAATATAAGTCATAATGTAATTACAAAGGATGGAGATTCAATCAACAAAGAATAAGTGAAAGGCCTTGAATCCAAGAGGTAATTGTGGAAATCTGTCCCTGATTCAGGGCAGAGCAGTAAAGGGACTTATTTTAAAAGGTCTCAAGCTTTTTCAGAGTATGAGCCACCCAAATCCATGTTATTTACTTTATCTTCAGGATAAAGTATTCTGTTTTTTTCAGAGTGAAAACCCAAGAAAACTGCTGAGGAAAGTAACCATTTTTAATACATTCACAGCTGTTTTCATAGCAAAGCCCAACTCAATAGGGACAAAGACATAGTAGGACTCTTGCTCAATTTCAAGTACTTTCCCCATACATTCAAGCTAGTGCTCCCTCACATGCATCCACCACATCAACAGTTGCAGTACAGTAGCTGCAACAGCTGATAGAGCTGAAAGAGCAGAAAAAAAATAGATGTTATCTATAAATAAGGAGTTTTTAGGAGATTTCCATTACACTAAGAGAAGAAAAGAGTGTTCCAGAGGAATTCAAGCCTTGTAAAACTAATACTACAATAAATATTAAATACAAAAAGGAAAGACAGTAGAATGAATCGGACATAACTTTCCTATACATATATATGAATACACCACAGTGAATCTCACCATCATGTAGGTCCACAAGACTGAGGTCCTAATTAGAATAAAACATATTCCATGTTTGCATAGTTATATGAAAATGGACTCCATTGTCATCATTGTCATGTATAACTAAAAAGGTCCTATAAATTTTTTTAAAAATTAAATACAGTCCAACTTCCAGCCAGATTGGCATAATCCCCACATTAATGACCAATGTAACTCTGTGTCACAGATTGAAGGCTACTCATAAATACTACCTGAGCTTCAAGGGTAATATAGATACCTTACAAAAATCTATTCCCATTCCTCCTTGCATCCCTTGTGATATTGCTGTTATTAATTTCACTTATTAATATGAGAAATATGTTGCTACTTTTATAACAAATAGTTATCAGCTAAGAATTAGGAAATTAAATCTTCTTTTACCTTTATTTCTTCTCTCATGCTCTTTCTTTAAAGGATCTGTATCATTTTTATTCTGCCTAAAAATCTTTTTCTACTGTAACCATTTAATTGGTAAGCTTGAATTGTTATTGGAAATTATCCAAAAGAAAACAAAGAGAATAAAAAAAATAGGCTTGCTCTTCACACTTTTGTTTCCTTTGCTATACAGAAGCTTTTAAATTTCATACCATCCCACTTATTGATTTTTTTACTTTATATATTGCTCTTTAGGGGTCTTGTCAAGGAAGTTGGTTTCTGTGCCAACATGCTGGAGTGTTGGACCTACATTTTCTTCTAGCAAATTCAGAGCTTTTGTACTAATTTCACATTTAGTTGACTTTTGTGCAGAATGAGAAATAGGGGCCAAATGTCATTCTTCTGCATATAATTTTCAGTTTTCTCAATACCATTTGTTTAAAAAGTTATCTTTTCCCCAATGTATATTTTGAGACCTTTGTCTATATTTATATGGATTTGTCTCTGTCTATTCTATTCTATTCTGTTTTTAGGGCTGGTTTGGTGTCAGTACCATATTGTTTTTTTGTTACTCTACCTCTCCAGTATAATTTGAGATTCAGTATTGTGATGTTTCCATCTTCATTCTTCTTGCAAAGGATTAAACAGATATTTCTCAAAAAAAGAAATACAAAAGTTCAACAAATTCATGAAAAAATGTTCAACATCTCCAACAATAAGGGAAATGCAAATCAAAACTGTACTGTGCTAGGCACGGTGGTGCACATCTGTAATTCCAGTGGCTCAGAAGCCTGAGGCAGAAGAATTGTGAGTTCAACTTAGTGAAGGCTTAAGCAACTCAGCAAGACCCTGTCACTAATAAAATACAAAAAGGGACTGGGAATGTGGACCAGTGGCTAAGTACCCCTGGCTTCAATACCTGGTACTAACAAAAAAAGAAAAGGAAAGGAAAGAAAAAGAAAACTATATTAAGATTTTATTTTACTCCAGTAAGAATGACAATTATCAAGAATACAAATAATAATAAGTGTTGGCGAAGATGTGGGAAAAATGGTACACTCATATATTGATGGTGGGAGTGCAAATTAGTGAAACTACTCTGAAAAGCAGTATGGAGTTTCTGTACAAAATCTAGGAATAGACTTAACATATTTTTCATCTATCCCACTCCTTGGTATGTATCCAAAAGATTTAATATCAGCATAGTATAGGAATACAGCCACATAAATATTTATAGCAAAACAATTCACAATAGTGAAGCTATGAAACCAATCTAAGTAGTACACTTCAACAAATAAATGGATGTGTGTGTGTGTGTGTGTGTGTGTGTGTGTCTTTGGAGTCTTTCTCTACCACAAAGAAGAGTAAAATTACTACATTTGCCAGTTAGTAGATGGAATTGGAGACTATCAGCTAAATGAAATAAGCCAGTTCCCAAAAAGTCAGATGAAGTGTTTTCTATAATATGTGGATGCTAATCTAAAATAAAGAAGGAACAGAAGAAAGAGAAATGTGAAAAAGGGGAGAATAAATTTCATCAAAATAAACAAAAGATCAACAAAATAGAGGATGGAATAGAAGGGGAAGAAAGCAGGACAGGAAAAGAGAAATAGTAAAATAAATCTGATCAAAATTTGTATGTACATATGTGACTATACCACAGTGAATCCAAATATCAAGTACATTCACAAAGCAGCAATTCAAACAAAAAACAAAAACCCTATAAAAAATTGCATAAAAATCAGTAGAGGGATGGTAGCAGAGAAGGGAAAAGTAGAGGAGGGGGGAAGTGCTTCGGGCTGAATTAGAGCAAATTACATTCCATGCTTTTGTGATTATGTCAAAATATATCCTAATGTTATACATAACTAAAAAGAACTAATAAAAAAACTACCTAGCACCCCCCAAAACAATAATAGAGGAGTAGAACAGAATATACAAAAACTGTGGAAGAATTATGAAAGATATCCATATTGAAAACGCAGAAGAGAGAAATTACCTAAAATATAAAAAAACCTTTAATGTTATAATGGTTTGAATTTTTTTAAAAATAAAACCATCCACAAAGTCATGGATGAAACCCAGAGTAAACAAATTAAAACTATATATGCCATGTTCAAATTTCAGCAAAACAAATACAAAAATATCAAAAATCAATGAGAGAGAGAGAGAGAGAGAGAACTTTTCAATATAGAGGAACAAGAGCAAGAATAATATCAGATTTCTCTTATCAAGCCTCGAAGGTAAGAAGAGGATTGTGTAACTATGTAAAGTATTGAAAGAAAAAAAATCACTAGCCAATAATTCTATGTGGACTGGAAGTAACTTTCAAAACGAAGGAGCAATAGACTTTGTCAAAAAAACTGAAAATATTAACTGCCAGTTGTGTCTCAAATTTATATTTGTGCAGAAGAAAGTTGGGAAAATGTCTCCAAATAGAATAGAAATGATATAGATCCATTAGAGAAAGAGCATCAGAGAAGGAATAAAGGAAGATAAATTAAGATTTAATTTTTATAAGGCTAGAGATGTAGTT